ATCTATCTATCTATCTATCTATCTATCTATCTATCTATCTATCTATCTATCTATCTATCTATCTATCTATCTATCTATCTATCTATCTATCTATCTATCTATCTATCTATCTATCTATCTATCTATCTATCTATCTATCTATCTATCTATCTATCCCGGTGGGTCTGACCAGGCTTGAGTATCTGGTCGGGATGCCTCCTGAATTGCCTCCTTGGTGAGGTGTTCCAGGCATGTCCCACCATGATTAGACCCTGGGGAAGACCCAGGAACCTGGGAACACCTCAGGATCCTAACCCCTAACCCTAACCCTTACCCTAACACCCAGTAGAGCTCGCAGATGTGGCCAAGGAGTGGGGAGGGCTTCCCTGGATTAGAGCTAGATGGATGGTCCCACATGGCTGAATGCTGTTCCTTCAAATGTAGGATTACTACTTTGGCTCTACTATTTGGGATTCCCTATTAAAACCTTATTCTATTCTGTTCGTATGTGTAGTGGATGCTCCTACTACTACCATTAAGGGCCCCAATTATAATCCAGATGGAGGTGGAACCCTTGGAAGACACAATTGTTCCAAAGACAGAGGGGGGTGTTAATTTTGAAGCTAAGTTCATTTGAGCCCTGTTATTTTGTCGTTTCAATATATTATTTGTATTAAGTGAAATATGATTTTGCTTCTATTTTGTCAGGTTTTGTGTTTATTGTACTTCTATTATGTCCCCCCCTCATGTGGGAAGTTTGGGGTGGTCCACCCCTGTTTAACCCGCTTTGGTTCTGTTTGGAGGTCAGTTTGGTTTTTGATTGGTTCAGTTGACCTCAGTTGGGTGATCTATAATCCTAGTTGTGTTGTATTGAAGTTTGACCTTTTGTTATCATTTTTTGATATTATTAAATTGATTTTTTTCTCATTTTTGGAACACCTTTGTCCTGGATTCAGTCTGGTCACTCACAGTATGGAAAAAATCTATTGATCTAATCCTCCATCCGGAGTAGATCCCCAATTCAATTAAATTCAATTCAATTTTATTTATATAGCGCCACATCAACAACAACAGTAATCTCACAGCGCTTTCCAAACAGAGCAGGTCAGACCCTACTCTGAAGTTAACTACAGAAACCCAACAATTCCCACCATGAGCAAGCACTAGGCGACACAGGCAAGGAAAAACTTCCTCATCTTCCACATTCCCTTTTACCTCCATGGAGAAGCGTCTGTGCTGGGCCTTGCTGTGGAAGTGCAGGCCGGAGGGAGAATGGGCTCCGGGGGTCGTTGGCTCTGGGCTCACCGGGCTGGCATCATGGGAGGGAGGACCCAGTCTGTCCGGGGTTAAGCCTGACGGGTGTAAAACATAATCAATACTAATACACAATCAATAATAATCAATACTACAAGCAACGCTGCATTCTGACTCATGCTAACATCGTCCAACAGGCTGAAATAAAGGTAATCAGACGAGGTAATCACATAACTTTCATAGTAATCAGTTTTTTCAGTGACCTGATCGTCCCACTATGTGAATGTACAGTGGGGCAAATAAGTATTTGACCCCTTGCTGATTTTGCAGGTTTGCCCACTTACAAATAATGCAACGATCTATAACTTTAATCATATGTACATTCTGACAGTGAGAGACAGAATCCCAAAGAAGATTCCAGAAAATCACTTCATATGAATTTATAAAAATTGATAACCATCTGATGAGGAAAAATAAGCATTCTTTGTAAGTGGGCAAACTTGCAAAATCAGCAAGGGGTCAAATACTTATTTCCCCCACTGTACATACATTTGGGATATTTCTGTTATCGTAAGTTTTGATTTTTTCACAAAAATGAGTTAATTAGAGAACCAGGACCAGCATTTGAACATATAGAGAAGAGGTGTCAAACTCTGGCCCGCGGGCCAAATTTGTTGTAATTATATTTAGCCCTCGAGATAATACCAAATGACTCAGAGAGCTGGCCCCCGGTATTATACTGTACAGACCATTAACGGCTCGTACTACAACTCCCATAATGCCCTGCTGTTGTTCAGAAACTCCTCTGTGACAGTAGGAAACACACTACAGCTGTCATTGTGCTGCTTCCCAAAAATGACCAAAAGAAAGAAACAGGAGCTTTCT